CAGTGGAAAAAAATACTTCTAATTTCTATCTTTTTCCAAACTAGCAGTGTGTGGTACAATACTCCTGAAATGTTGGACAGTGGATGCTCCCAGTCAGCCATGTGTGCAGGAGAATAAACAGTACTCTACAGTGTACTATGTTGCCAGCATTGTTTGGATATAGGTATTCAACAGATTACATGAGATAGTCAGTATTCTATAACACAGGCTTTGTGTTAGATGATTTTGCCAACTATAGGCTAATGTAATTATCCTGAGCATATTTAAGATAGGCAGAGCTAGCTGGGCGTGGTGGCGCATGCCTTTAGTTCCAGCAGAGACAGGCGGTTCTCTGGTGAGTTCAAGGCCAGCCTCATCTGCATACTGAGTTCAGGTCAGCTGGGACTACAGGGAGACCCTGTCTCAAAAAGACAGAAAAAAAAAAAAAAAAAAAAACCTATAATACTATAATGTTTGGTAGGCTAAATATAATAAGTGTATTTTTAGATTTTTTTAAAAGACAGGGTCTCATGTAACCCAGGCTGGCCTCAAACTCACTGTGTAGCTGAGGATGACCTTAAACTCCTGATGCTTCTACTTCCCAAAGTCCTGGGATTATAGACATGCTCCACCATGTTCAACTTTTAATGCATTCCTTCTCATTTCTCTCTCTCTCTCTCTCTCTCTCTCTCTCTCTCTCTCTCTCTCCCTCTCTCTCATCAGTTAATGAAAGTATGTGTTGTATGCATGAGTGTGCTGGTACACATAAAGGCCAGAGGTGGATGTTGGGTAACTTCTTTTGTGACTCTCCATCTTACTTTTTGAAACAGGATCTCTCATTGAGCCCAGAGCTTACCATTTTGGCTGTACTGGTTGGTCAGCAAGCCCCCAGGATCCATCTGTTTCCATGTCCCCAGTGCTATGGTTATGGGTCCACACTGTTGCTAGTTTTTGATGTGGGTGCTGGAGATCTGGAAGGTCTTTATGCTTGCCAGGGCAAGCACTTTACTGGCTGAGCCTTCTCCCCAGCCCTTAATGCATTTTTGGCTCATGATATTTTCAGTTTTCAGTAGGTTTATCAGGATGTATCCTTGTGAGTGGAGCAGCATCTTGAATCAAAAAGTGTGTAGGTGTGTCTTCTGAGTTTCAGTATTCCTCATAAATGCCTAAGTATTGGTAGGATAACCTGATTAAATAATTTTAATCAACATTCTAGGAATTTTTTCCTAAGGAAATATAGTTTCAGTATCTCCTCTGTCCCCAACACCACTTCACCTACTGACCACTTTCCTCAGATTGGGGTAAAGCTTTGGAACAGAGGTTCAGGTCAAGGACACCCACACGGGAAGAGAATGGATTTTTTTTTTTAAAGGTTAACGAACTTGACAGTAGTGCTGAACTTGTCCTGAGGTCAAGTGAGACTTGCTTAACACAGCGCCCTAGCACATAGAAAGCTCTGGGGAAACAGTAATCATTTTCTCATTTGTATTTTAAAGGAGTGGTTTTAGGGCTGGAGAGATGGCTCAGTTTATAAAGTGCTTGTTGCACAAGCATGAGAGAGAGAAGTAGTTTGAATCCCTGAATCACACATAAAAACCGGGCAAGCATGGTGGCCTCCTGTAATCACAGCACTGGGGATGCAGAGACGATTTCCCAGGGCAAGCTGGCTAGCTAGCCTAGCTGGACTTGGTGAACTCTGAATTCTTCAAGAGACCCTACTTCAGTAAATAAAGTGGAGAGAAATCAAGGAACACATATGACATCAACTTTGAGCTTTTGTATCACACAGTACCCACCCAGCACTGTACCACACACATTTGAGCACACATACACACATGCACATATGAGACAGGATCTTTTGTAGTTCAAGCTGACTTTGAACTCCTCCAACTTGTTAAGTAACCAAGGCTTTGTCAGTTCACTGTAGAACCCTGGAAACCAAAGAATATTCTTACTCTGTCATCACCTAGGGTGTGCTTTTCAAGCTTTAATGTCCTTCTCATTCACCTGGGAATCAGTCTGAGTTAAATACAAATTAGCTGAGAGGGTCTTTTTTTCAGTTGCTTTAATGCATTCATTTTTATTTTCAATTCAAACACTACCACCCAGTATGTGTAGCAGATTAAGCCAATCATTGGTTTAAAAATGATAGAAGCTGGGCGTGGTGGTGCACTCCTTTAATCCCAGCACTCAGGAGGCAGAGGCAGGCGGATCTCTGTGAGTTCAAGGCCAGCCTGCTCTACATAGTGAGTTCCAGGACAGCTGGGGCTACAGGGAGACCCTGTCTCAAAAAAAACCAAAAAAAAAAAAAAAAAGATGGAATAGTCTCACTGGGAGAGTGGTGAAAGGGTAAGAACCAGAAGTCTGCAGAAGCCCTTTGAAGAACAGTAGTGGCATCTTGCTCTAGTCTCTGCTACTGCCTTGGGTAAGGTGTGGCCAGGACCATGGAAATTGAATTGAGTTCCCAGACTATTCCTTGTATATAAATTAACCTCCAAAATTTGTTTCAGTCACTTTTCAAAATAAATGCAGGAAAACAATAAGAGCCGCAGTCAAGTGATGATTAGCCTTTCTTCTCTGTTGCTTAGGGATTAACCAGTGGGACAAACCACAGTGTCCAATGGAATGGTCATGCACCTTGATCAGTGATTTTATCTATAGAATACTGAAGTCTAACATGTAGAGCCCAGTTAAATAAATATGCCTTATTGTCTGTATGTATATACCATTGTCAAGGTAAGAATCAGGGACAGATATGATGAAGGAACAGCTCAGTTACCAAGAACTCAATGATAATGCCACTAACTGATCCATCAGCAAGTCCACAGATTTGAAAAAAAAGAAGGGGGAGCTGTTGGAGTAACTGAGGGTTTGGTAATTCCACTGAGGAAGTCACAATGCTGAACTAATGCTATAAAGATCTTTATCCCCCACCCAGCATTCTTCCCATTACATAGAAACAAATGCATTTTAGAAAATTCATTATTTGTTCAGATGAATTTCATTGAAAATTCCTATCCCCCAGTTCTACTAAACATTTTAAAAATTAAAAGGTGTTCTCTGGAGATAGCACCCTAAGTTCCAAGAATTGAATGAAAATTAATACAAAACATACCAAACCTATAGGACACAAGAGAGGCAGTCCTAAGAGGAAAATTTACAGCATTAAATGCCTACACCAGAAAGTAACATATTTCTTTTATTTTAATTATTTAATAACTGCATGATTAGAAGAAGCATTTCATTACAGTATTAACATATTCAATAACAATTTCCAGAGCAAAGATCCATCTCTTTCAAAATTGGCTGTAAATTTTTAGGTTCACAGTTGAATTAATACAGTTATACAATATTGAACTCAGCATAAACCCTATAAGACATAAAACTGAATGAGGTTTTAACCTTTAAAAAAGATCTCCATTTCATTTTAAAATACAGTTTCATACAGAAAAACTCATTTTTTAATGCTACTAACAGATGTTTGCACATGCGTCTCTAATCTCTATGTATCTGGTTATTACCAGTCACAGTCGGTTACTGAGATCCACCTGAGCATGGATATAAAATCACTGGATAGACTTCAATGGTAATGTGTTTCACCTCTACTAATTAACATGGAGCAAAATTTTTATGCTTCTTCCTCAAATACAACTCATTTTCTTATTTGTTGATTTTTGTGTGTGTGTGTGTGTGTGTATCTCATACAGGACATCCGAAACAATCTTATTCATCCATATACCCACATCCCAAATGGCACTCTCCCATAGTCCCCCCCCACAACTGGAGCCCATATACTCTGTAATTCCTATTACTGTCTGCTGTGTTGTCGGCACCCCCAGCCGTTCTCCAGTGCTTGTCCGTCCGCTGAATCTAGTCAGCCTATTTAGAGTTCCTTGTTTGAGGAAGATCAGCTCTTCCTCATCTAGCAGCAGTCAGTTACCAGGCTGGCCTCAAACTTACAGAGATCTGCCTGCCTTTGCCTCTTTTTTTAATGCCTTGTTCATGGGGTCTTTATTCTTAGCAAGCTCCCAGATGGCGCTGATGTTGAGCCACAGCCCAAAGTGTAATGAAAATGCGGGTAGGGTTTTGCCTCCTGTGTCATTCATTGAAGGGTTTACCACTGTGATCTAGCAAGTAGGAAACGGGGAGAGAGAGGAAGTGGAGAGCAGGCAACTGGCTCATCATTTTTACTCTGAAACTTCAAATTTGAATATTTGAATGAATAATGGAATGCACACTTTAGTTTCACATTGATATAGCAATGCCACTTCAAGGATGTGACACACAAGTTGCCTACATCGAATTCCCCCTTGCCTCAGCTTCTCCAGTGCCAGGATTACAGGTGTGTGCCACTGCCCTGAGCTCTTAAATATTTTTCTGCAGGAAGTTTAATTAGAAATAGTTTTAATAATGACAACCTAGGTATCATTATGTCCAAAATGGGTCCAAACACACCACAGCTGCTTGCATACAATAGTATGTTTGTGGTACATGTAGATTCTTAAGAGTTGTCAATACTGTCATAAATCATCATTTTGCCCAACCCTTCCTAAAAATTCAGAATTTAAACTGGCATAAAAACATAAATACATCTTGTTTTATATAAATCTGCCAGCAATATATATCATACCACACAGACAGTAGATTTAACTATTCCTTGTTAATTTACATTACCTTTCACTACTCCTATGTGTGGCAAGTGTGCACGTGCGTCTGCTTGTGTGTGTGTGTGTGTGTGTGTGTGTGTGTGTGTGCGTGTGTGTGTGTGAGAGAGAGAGAGAGAACACAAAGTAAGTAGTTCTCTACCGTTGAGCTACATCCTCAACTCCAAAATCCTAAAATCCTGAGGAACATCTTTCTTTTCAAAATGTTAAAAGAATGTTCAAAGATAGTGCTATTTTACAGTATTTGAGTGTACACACACAAAGTTTTGATATATTACCTAGGTCTTTTGGGGGGTTACATTTTAGCCCTTGACTGACAGATTCTATTCCATTTTTTGGTTTTGTGGATCGTTGTAGGTACTTGAACGCAAAGGATAAGCTATGTGCGTTTCTCAACACGAATTCCCTGGTAACAAGATTTGAGTTACTTTTGGATATAGCACTCTCTCATCCGGGTCCTGGAGACCACTTGCCCACTTTACAGTGACAGCCCAGAACCTCTCCTCTCCCGGACTAAAGGACAGCAAAAGAAGACGTTCTCCTTTGTCACGAGTGACCGCAGAGGACGCAGGGGGTCGCTCCGCGGATGACTACCATGTGGCGCCTTCCGAGCTGGCGAAGGTAGATGACTTGTGGGACCTGCGGGCTGCCGGAGGCTTGCCAGCAGCCAACATGGTGGCGTTGGCGTCAGAGAGGGAGGTGCCATGGGGCGCTGCGGCCAATGAGCTTCTGGGCTGCACGGCCGGCCGCGCGCGAGAGGCGGAAGTGTCGCGGGCTGCCAGCTGCGGCCCCTGCCGGTTACATAACCCGCCGCAGGGGGCCCCAGCAGCCCCAGGTTAGGCTTCCCTGCACCCTCAGTATGCGCTGAGCCCCGAGACGCCCTCCGCTGCCGCCGGCTCCCGCCCGAGGTGAAACAACGGCCTGGGGCCTCGGGGAGGGGCGGGGTGGTGGGGAGGTCGTTACCGCAGCCGGAGGTCTCTGGCCGGCTCCCAGCGAGCGCGTCCCCCCACCACCCTGCGCGACCGCGCTTCGCCGGTGTCTGGTGGGTTTAGGTGGCGGCGGTGAGTTTGCGCCGGCCTCAGAGGAGATCCGGGAGGTGGCTCTTCCGGGGACCCTCGACCGATGGTCCGGGGAAAGTGGAAACTGAAAAGCAGCGCGCGCAGGTTCGCTGGAGGTGAGGGGTCTGGTCTTTCCGCGCTCCCGCTTCTCTGCGGGGACTTGTTGCTCTGGTGGTAATTGCCGACTTGCCCTCCTGAGAACTGGGGGCTCTGTCTTGGTTACCTCCGCGTCTTACTCTTCCAGCAGTATTCTTTGGTATTAGGACGAATGTAAGCCTTCCATTTCTGGTAACTTAATAGCCAAGCTGACCATAACGATTCTGAATTGGGCACTTGCCAAGGAGAAGAGGGGCTCTATGGCCGTTGTCCCCCCCCCCCCCAGGGAAAACTGGAGTGGGCTCTGGGCCCTTTCTGAACCTCCAGCTGATACTTGTGTGCCCTACAGGTCAGGGCCAAAACTGAGCTTAGACAAGGAGGTAGAGTGCAGTCAACGTGAACTTTGGCTTTCCTCATTGATCTCTTTCATCTGCCAAGTCCTTGAGCCATTGCTTTTGGGTCATTCTTGTCACCCTCTGGTCTTGAAAGAAAGGGACAGCAGCCCAGCAGTGTGGTGTTTGGAGTGGTAATCAAGAGAGAAACTTAACAGTTACAGAGTTTTCTTTCCTTTTCCAAAATACTGAAGCCACAAAACCCCTAGTTAATACTTGTCTGTGACTCCAGAAGTCATCTATGCAAATACTGCAGTCCACATAACAGTGTGGCCGCGACAATTTTAAAAGGCCTATTTTCCACCATGTTACTGGCTGACAGCAGGAAGAGGGGGTCCTGCTTGGACAAAAACAGCAAATGAGCATGATTAGTGCATATAGACTCAAAGACCATCTTTCCAAAGTGACAGACCAATCATGGCAGTGAGCATAAGTCTCTTTTAGGATTTTGAAACTAACAAGAATAATGTGCATATTATATTAGCCTTTTTGAGAGTGGGGCATTCATAGGCTCCTCCAGCTGGTTGTGATTTGCTATAGAGTTTCATCTCATAGACCTAGCACATATGCTGGGTTTCTGTCAAGATGGCTAAAACTTGTCACAAAGTCAGGTCTGGTTTGGTGTCAGCACACCAGCATCAGCATAAAACACAGTTTTTGTTTTTAAAGAAAAGGTCTGTGTGTGTCCCGTCTTTAGCGTCTTCCATTTGTAACTTGAAGTGACTTTGTCACTGTGTTTGTTTAACCACACCCACGCACAGTGTGGAGAGTATCTTTAGATGTGACTTGTCCAGATTGCTTGGCAACAGCATGACTAGAATGGAAAAAAAAATCAATCCTGAATGTTAGAAGATTGAAGGATAAAAGGTAGTTCTGAAACAAGACCAGGAAGAGGGTGGTGCAGGTATCAGTGACCCAGGTGGGTGACTTGGAGATATCAGTGCTGTAGTGTAGCAGCCTGAGAAATATAACTCAGATGGATAGAGTCCTTTCATTAAAGTCACAGGGAACAGACTGATGGAAATAAGAGTCTTCAGAACTCTTGAGTTTCAGGCAAGGCATGCCTCTCTGTTCAAGCCAGAGGTCCTATGTACTTGGTGACAGTGGTCCAACCTGAATAGAATGCTGCTTACCAGGCATGTCTTCTTTTAAATGGTGATTCATCTATATCTTATCTCTACCATCTTCTGGAAGGAACCCATCAAACTCACAGTTTTGACACCTCAGTACCTCTGCAGTAAGCAAGGCTGGGGTATGTACTACACTGAAGCTGGTTCTGCTTATGCTGTGTGAAGTGTTTTCAAGTATGATGCTGGTCTGCAGAATGATGCTGGAAGTACAGGTCTTGTTCAGGCCAAATTCAAATACTGAATTTGATTCAACAAATGGTTAAATGCTTTTGGTAACTCCAGCACAGATTTCTTTCCCTGTGTATCATTCTTCTTAGCATGGCTTCTAATAGAGCCTGACAGGACAGTTGAGGGTCTGTCTGAAGCCCAGATAATCATACTGCTGGTTAAAGAATGGCCCATGTGTTTAAATGGCAAACAGGCATATCAGAGTTTAGCTCTTCTCTGAACACTAAGGAAGTTTCTCGGTGCTTGCAGAGTGATAAGAAAGGTATCTAAACCAGGAGCCAGAACTTTCTACAGGAAGTGGTTTGGGGTCTAGATCAACACTAAAGAGTGCTTAGAGTAGCTGGAGTACCCCAGTGCAAAGGCCAACAGGTACATAACACTAGCTTGTAGCCACATCTCCAAGCCAAGAGAGTGACAGCAAATGAGGGCCAACCCTGTGTCCCATCGTTCAACTCAGACCCCCTTCCATGTCTTTACCTTAGAGACCACTTGGCCATGAGAAACCAAACACCTCCAAAATGATGGTGAGAATCAACTGTGTTAAACATAAAAATTTTCAAATATCTTTTCAAATTATAAGTACATGACCACCTATTTTGCCCTAAAATAGACTCTTAGCACTGACCTTTAAACATAGCACCCTAGGAATAGCATGATATTTTGGGTATTGATGCCAGAAATAAATGCTCTAAACATGGTCAAAGTTCCTGAGAAGTAGAGAGGAGGTGGTTGTGAACAGGGACAAAGAACAAATATCAGAGAAAGTTCTTTTGTTTTTGTTTCCACAGGATGACAAAAGGAAGGTATTTTGTTACTTTAATGGACTGGGGCTGGAGAGATGGCTCACAGTTAAGAGCACTGGTTGCTCTTACAGTGGACCATGGTTTGATTCCCAGCACCCACATGGCATCTAACAACCTTCTCTAACTCCAGTTCCAGGGGTTCCGATGCCCTCTTCTGACTTCCAAGGGCATTGCACAACATGGATGCACCTACTCACTTAGGCAATGCACTCATACACATAAAATAAATTTTTTTTTTTTTGTATTTTTTGAGACAGGGTCTCCCTGTAGTCCCAGCTGGCCTGGAACTCGCTATGTAGACCAGGCTGGCCTTGAACTCACAGAGATCCACCTGCCTCTGCCTCCCAAGTGCTGGGATTAAAGGCATGTGCCACCACACTCGGCTCTACATAAAATAAAAATATTTTTAAAAATAGATTGTTTTGGGGGGACCGGGAAAGGTGCTGTTATGGCATCCAGCAGGGTCAGGGTGAGTGCTGTGGCCCGGCCAGCGAAGCCTCTGAGATTCCAGACAATGTGGGCAATTGGCTCTGTGGAGTCTACCCGACAGGAATGAGTTCTGGAGGAACTTGATCCTCAGTTTGGGACTCTTTGCTGTGGGAGTTTGGCTGGCCAGGAACTTGAGTGACATTGATTTGATAGCACTTTAGCCAGGGGTATAGGCAAATAAATGGAATTCCTGTGTATCCAAACTTTCCAAAAATAGCCTTTGGTCTGTGACCACCACAAGATAATACCTGGATGGCAGCTAAAGTGATTCAGACAGGCACCTTCCCTTTTCCTGCCTGAACTCCAGTCCCTGGTCAGCAGTCAGCTAGCTTCCACCTCTGCAAAGTTGTATACATAGTCTAAGTTTCTGCAGAGCATGGTCTTTGTGCTTGTCCTGAGGAGTACTAATGGTGTCTTGACGTTTGAAATAAAGACTGCACACAAGGGGGGAAAAAAAAAGACTGTTTGCAGGGCTTAGTGGCACATACTTCTAATCCCAGCATTCAGGAGGCTGAGACAGGAGAATTGCCACAAGTTTCCAGCCTGGGCTACATAGTAAGATTATATCACAAACAAACTGTTTTTAAAGAAAATTCTCCTAGCTTTTTTTGTGTGTGTGGCGGGGGGGGGGCAATAGTTAATTGTTACTAAAAACTAAAATGGAAGGACTCAGAGATGATGGCTCAGGGGTTCATAGCTCTTACTGCTCTTGCAGAGGACTTGGGGTTGGTTCCCAACACCCACATCAGGCTGTTCACAATCTCTTATACCTCCAACTCCAGGAAATCTGATGCCCTCTTCTGGCCTCCACAGGCACTAGCACTCATATAGTACACATGAACAAATGCAGGCACACACACATAAATAAACCTTTAAAATAAATAAACAAAATGGAGCTGGTGTGATTGCTTATGCCTGTAATCCCAACACTTGTGAGGTCAAAGCAGAAGGATCAAGAGTTTGATGCCAACCTGGGCTACCTAACAAGACCCTGAAAAAAAAAATCAAGGGTTTGGATTTTTTTCCTTTATTCCTGAAATGGGGTTGATTTGGGAACAAAGACTTGAAGATAGGTGGGTGGTTTTTTTTTCCCCTAAGTACTGAAAAGAATTATTTTCTGGAAAATGGCAGTGCTGCAGGGTTTCCATCATGCCCCTTGGTGTGCATGGAGTGCTGTTGAGTACCGTTCACACTCATGTCACTTTGGAAGATGCCCCTGGGACTGCATTTGTAACCTGTTCCTAAATTATTCAACCTGTGGTCTTTGTAGTATTCAGCACATCTCCCAGGGCCAATATTTGCTGTTCCTCTCCTACTCTGAGTTTCAGATTACTTTGTGTGCCCCATGGCTTCTCTTCAACCTTTCATTAAAGCATGTACAGAAATATTGCACTGCCATGCAAAAATATTAGCACAGCCTGGGCA